ACACACACACACACACACACACATGCATGCATGCATGTGCCCTCAGCGGTAAATGCAAATGGATGCCACACACACTCACACATGCACGTGCATGCATGCATGCACGTGCCCTCAGGGGTAATGCAAACGGACGCCAGTAACAAGGTCTTTGGATAGAACATCTTCCATTTGAATGCCAAAGATATCCTTTCAAAGACAGCAGAGAGATTTCCTGCTCTACAGTGCCTCCAGCTAAATGTCACCACCCCCATCCTGCATCAACTGTTTCATACTAGGGAAGCTCAGAGCATCTGCAAACTGCAAAACCTGTACACCTCCGACAACTCTCTTCAGAATTGCAGTGTCTTCGACCTCGTTCATAATGTTAAGGTAAAACCGTAAAACTCGGATCCTTTTTTCCAGTCCCACATATTAGACTCACTTCTGGTGCCCCACCGCCCCCCCAGCACCCCTCTCTATCTCTCTTTCCCGAAAGAGACATCACAAGATCGTCCCAAAAAGGTAATCCCAACCTCTCCTTCCTTGCCTTTGCATCAGGAGGATAGCCCCCCATGTTTTTTCCCCCACATCAGGAAGATGTCCGCGTTGAGATAGGGCACAAAGAAGCTCTGGAGTGTAGACGATCGCCAAAGCAGGATGAATGTGTACAGTCTAAATCCGCGGCGAACTAAATTCACTCCGAATCACTCGCACGCCAGTAAATAATCATTGTCAAATAACCAAAGGACGCTGCCTGTTGATTCTGTGATGAAGCATGTGCACTGAGCAACAGAGCGTCCACAACAGCACGAAGAAAGTATGCAGTCGACAGTGAAACAACTTGGACTGGACGCATGAAAAGGAGTCCACTAATCGTGTCGCTTGATTAAAAACTCTTCGCTCGATCGAACACACATGAATGGACGAGAATGTGTGGTCTTTCCATTGACATAACGAATGAACGAGGGATTTTAAAATCTACTAGGTCTCCCAACCCCCCTCCCTCCCCCCTCCCCCCTCCCCCCTCCCCGAAAGCTCCACTAACCTCCTTCAACAGAAACATCCAGGCTCGTAGTGTCTAGCTGGCTGTTTCCTATTCGGCATTCTAATGAGGTAGTTACCACCAATCGATGGATTACAGTTTCCCATTTTGCACTCTACCGGGGGTGCTTACCACCAATTCACAGAGACAGATTCCTCAGCTGGCAGGCAGCTAGCAGTGAACCAGATCCATCCATTCATTAAAAGATAGATCTTGACAGTGTCCGCACGTGGCGATTCGCAGGACTCTTGCGGCTTGCGAATGTGGACGTACATAACGCTCTATGCCTTGCTAGAGTGCTTTGCTGCGGTTTCAGTTTTGTAACAGGCACAGTGAAGTCAATCTTGATTGGTACTACAAAAGGGAGTAGCAAGGTGTGAGTGGCTTGGTCCGCCATGACACAGTTCGTAAACGAAGAAAAAGAGGAGGAACATGCTACGCGATTGTCGTCACCTCACCACGTACGCGTGGCAATGAAGCGCACAACTCCGTTTTCACTCCACTCACTCCGCAGTACTCATTTGGTCCCACTGTGGGACGGAGCGGAACAGAGTGATAAGAGAGTTGGTGAAAGGTAAGGTAAGGGGTAAGGTGACACATGTCGGCTGTCCTGAGAGTCTCTCCTGATTTTGAATCTGTCTGTTTGTGCAATGACCTGCTAAAATCACCTGCCTGCACAACAGGATGACCTCGATGCGGGATGCCATCAACTGTCTCACAAAATCAGCATCTTTCCACTCCTCAAATAATAAGATCACCCAGGACAGTTACCCGATACAGAAAAGATGATGGCCGGTATCTCCTTTCCAGCGTGATCGAACGGACTTGCTAGTGGGATCTAACCTTCTTTCAGGCCAATCCCATCCAGTCCCGGCTAATCCCAACCCGCCCTGGCCACCAGTACCGGCCAGTCCCCCGGCCAAGTTCCAGCGAGCACTGATCAGTCCCAATTCTGGCGCATCTCAGCCAGTCTGTCTCTTAAAATCAACCTCCTTTTAGGGCAATCCCAGCCAGTCCCGGTCAATCCTAGCCAGTCCCGGCCAACACCAGCGCGTCCTGGAAAGTGCCAGCCAGTCCCAGCCAGTTCCAACCAGCAATGGCCAGTCCCAGCCACTCCTGCCAGAATTCAGCTTGTCCCTTTTTAAATGCTAGTGTCCCTGAAGATGCAAGCATAGTAGCGTAATAATTCCACCGCCTTCCTTCCCCACTGCTCTGCTCAACATTCCAGCTGTGATTTAATCATTTAACAACTAACTTCAACAAGTGAGTGGTTCCGATCCTTCCTTTAGCGACTGTTAACCTAATCCGTATATACAATCTGATAAACCTGATCATTATCTGATACCCCTGATCATGATCTGATACCAACGATCATTCCCAGGCATTCCTCTAATGCACCCTGAGCGTCCGTTCTAACGTTGGTGGGAAAAATGTTGTGTCGACGCATCGGGTATACCTTGCCACACATCATCCATCCTCCTGATCAAATGATATACGTAAACTAAACTCTGAACGTGGCGATCAACTGAACTTTGCGCCTGGCAGGCAAGAAAAAGGCACCCTGCAGCAAACCACTCCCATTCTCTTGCCTACCCACTCGCCCGTCACTCGTATCAGGAATCGACAAATCGGTAAAATCACCAAATAGAAAGAAAGATTGGTGGGGGGAAAAAAAGAAGCAGCAGCATAACCAGCCAACATGAATGAAGTAGGTGACATGGTAGCAAAAAGATTATTAAAAAAAACTTTTCTTCTCCACCAAGAAAAGAAGTCGAAGAAAAAAGAGAAAGGGGGCGTAGCTCAGTTGGTACACTCATGAAGTGTTGAAATACAGACCTGAGTTTGAAGCCAGATGGAACTAGATAAATGAAATCAAGAAAAAAACAAGTATTAGAGCCACACAGAGGGAGATGGATGGACAGACGACGCAAAAGTCTGTGAAAAGTACATCACCTGGACGGGTTTGACTTGCAAATTCCGTATCTGCGAATGACTCGCAGAAGACTTGCAGAAGACTCCCGATCATTTGGACGATGGCGGTTGAGAGCTGAAATAGCCGCATGGCAAGGAGGCCACTTTCAAAGTGCACAGCTCGGAGAAAAGATTGAGAATATGTCCAGCAGCGTCAGGCATTGTAGCATTGCACCACTAACATATTATAAGTTATAACACTGCTGTTGGGCTTTTGCCCGCACAGGTCCGAACCCTGCCGGCCATGAACAAAGGAAAAAAAACACTGCCCGCAGCCTTGGAGACGATGACAGGTGTCAGCTGACCACGGCAGACAATGCCAAGTGTGCACAGCCTGTATCGCCACCACAACTTTTCAAGAGTCCAGAGACAAGATCGCCTTTGTCTCCATGATTGCTTAGGTGTGAGCTTTGAAGTGTGGATGCATTCCTTGGCTGTGCATGGTGTTCAGCTGAGCAAGTCTCACAGCCGTGTGACTGTCTTACCTTCCACTGAAGGGTTTCGTCAAAAATTACCAGAGAGAAGATCGCCTGTCAGGCGGCAATGGCAGACAATGCCAAGTGTGCACAGCCTGTATGTATCACCACCACAACTTTGCGAGTATCACCCCAGAGTCCAGAGAGAAGATCGTCCGCAGAACTTACAACCAGAAAAGTGGTTGTAACAGACGGACCACCCGCCTTTCCTGTCACGACTGGCCTTCCATCCGTTTCGTGAACAGGCGTGCGGTTCCGGGTTGACGTGCACGGGAGAACCAACAGGTCTAGTAGCTCAGTTGATACACCCATGAACTGTTGAAATACAGACCGGAGTTCAAATCCAGATGCAACCAGATGACCAGAAAAAAATCATTCTGAATTGCCTGGGGCCGGTCAGTTCAACAACGACATCTCAAGGTCGTTGCTGTTTAGAAAAAAGAAAATAAAAAGGCAAGGAAAAAAAAAGAAGCGCACCGGAGATTGTGCCTGCCGATCTGGCCGAAGTGCCTGCGGATCCGGTGGAAAGGGTACGGTGGAGAGTGTGAAGCTGGTATCTTTCTGAACCAAGCTCGCTCTCTTCTATCGTAAAATCATCCATCCGTTTCTCAAGCGGCCAACCCCTAACTGCCCTTCACTATACGCACTCGCAAGCAGATCCCTCGGGAGGATTACTGCAGTAGTTTCCCTGCTGAACATGAGAACAAACTCCCAATATACGTACTCGCAAGCAGAACCCTCAGCTTCTTCCACTCTTAGTTAAACTGGACTACATTCATGCTTTGAATTTCCGCTTAACATACAACTCGGATTTTGCCTATCACCTTTGCTGAGTTTGCCTCCTCATTTCGACACGATCCCTGGCTCTTCGCCGAAGGACTCCTTGTCTGTTTGGTACCGATTGCAACACGGCTGACAGCAGAAGAAGGCAGCGGCGATGGTTTCGACAACTGGCCGGTGCGAGCATCGATAATCATTGAGCAGTGCATGGCATAATTAGGAGTTTGGGAGTGTCTGGAGGGGCATGCCCTCGTAGGGACGCTAAGTACAGCCTGGCTCTCAGTGGCCCTCTCCGGCATCACGCCAGCATCGCAGTGTCCACTTCTCTGAGCAGCAGGTCGAGGATCGGCCCGAAAGGCAACGTCCGTGGAACGACTCTGTACGTGCTTCGGAGATGTGGCCGGGGTGTGCGCATGCTTGGGAGAGGAGGTGGTGAAGCTGCTGTGTGAATGCTTTGGAGAGGTGGGGGGGGGGTGTGCATTCTTTGGGGAGGTGGTGGGGCTGTGTGCGTGCTTTGGAGAGGTGGTGGGAGAAGAAACAGGTTTTGATGCTGCGCTTGTCGACTGCTTTGGCACCTTCTTCAGTGTGATAGGTTCCAATAAATGCCACATCGAGAAATCCGGTGATCGGGGGCTCTGCGGTGGGACCGTCGAACCGTTAGAAAATGACACCTGTGCAGTTTGTGTTTCAATGCGGAATGTCTTCAATTCTGACGTTGATGGTGATGACGTCGGAGAGGGGATCGGGCTGGGGATCGGACTCGACTTTGGCGACAGCTTCTTGCTGTATGCATCCGTTACTGCCGGTTTCAATCCATTCCCATCAGTCTTTTTGGAATAGAACAGCATGTACGCAGTAGGACATCCATAGGTATAGTTTTCAGACGTTCGGCCTCCAGTCGACTTGCTCCCGAAAGCGAGAGAGGGAATCTTCTCCTTTGGCAAGGAGGTCACATATGTGTCGTCCACTCGCATCCATTGGTTGGTATCACCATTTCTCGTCACTGCATAGTAATGCCCGCAGTCCACACTCGATCCAGAATGAATGACTATCGACCGAAGCTCGTATCGGCTCTGCTTCATTGCGCTTGTGTTGGCATGGTCCCGAATCAGCCCACTAATGTCAAGACTCTGCAATGCACAAATCCATCACACAACCAGAGAGCATTAAGTTTCCTCTCTCAGGTGTCTGCACACAGATTGAACTGCAATGAATAAAGCCATCACACCACCAGCAACACAGGCCAGAAAAGAACACACAACTACACGGTTTAGCTTCTATCCGCTGTCTGCACACAAATGGGACACAAACACACACCCAAAACGAACATGAAACTATAGTTGCTATACAGTTAGGTTCTCTCAGTTGTCTGTACCACCAACTACACAGTTAGAGCCTCGCCACATCACTCTCTCTCTCTCTCT